TTTGCAAACCAGGCAGGCATTGTTTGAATGTATGAAGAGTTGATCTATATTAACTGCCATGGGTTCACTGTGTGTACTACTAAAACGTGGCTGTTGATTCCTGCAGTAGTCATTGGCATTCTCCTCACGTTTAGTGGATTGTATTTAACCTAGGATTTTAAATTCTGTTTCCGTTAACTGTAAGAACAAATGAAGTTTTAAGTTAAGCTGTGGTTATTCAATCATTCTCACATTTAGTAATCTGGCTTACTTTGTTTGAAGTAAGGTTCTTAAATCAAAAATTCATTGGCTGGCCTAACCACTTTCCATCACAAAAAGAAAATGTGGACGACAATATATTTATCAACTTCTTGTAGTTTTTAAATCAGGCACAACATCTCTAATTTCTTTCATTTTTGTGGGTTGAGGATAACGTTGGGACCTCGAACATTGTAACCGTCGTCTTTCATGTTGAGGCCACACGATGAACCTTTACATAAAATGGCTCCCTGTCCTTGGAATATTTGTGAAGTTTTTGCTGTAAATTGAGACAACTTCATCTTCGAGGGCTGGATATTAAAAAGTTATTATTCAATAAAGTGAACTATATCTTTCAAAACCTGTCGCTATAAAATGAATAATAAAAAGCCATTTGTTTTCCTACCTAATCCATTATTATTTCCCTCCATTAACGTTTTCTTGCTGCATAAGACAAATGTGAAAACCACCCATAATGCCTGGGTGAAAAAGTTGGCAATGTACCTAAACAAGATAAACGTTCAGCTTGTTAAATCAACGAGCCCGTTTCCTCGCTATTTTTACGTTTCGTATAAAGTGCTAGGATTGCGTGTTTTATTAAAGCAAAAAAAGCGTTTCCAGAGAGGTTTGTTCTGATCAATTTAATATTTATACTAATTTTGTTTGTCCGAGGTGATTCAAGTCAGTGATCTAACATTAATCTGTCAAATAAAGTATTCTTGGCTTAGCAATGAAAATTCTGTCAATTGATATCTATTACGGTATATTTATTAAGCTCTACAATCATAGTTTACGACTGTCAATTGCAAAGCATTTTACGTACCCATTTTTCAGATTCTGGTTCACTCTAAGATACAACTGAGTAAGTTTTTCTTGTTACTTAACACTCCCCACAAATCTGTTTATGCCTGATTGTATTGTTACAAAACGCCTTATTTTATACCGTACTTAATTGTATCAAAGGTATGCCGACTCCCATGGTTAACCCACTGAAAAAAATTTTTTTTTCTCGTCGAAGGACATCCTTTGACTGATTTAGTACTTGGTAGGAAGCTATGTACTGCTCGAACAAACCTTTTCCTTTTGTGGGCGAATTGCTGCAGCTACATAATTATGATGATTCATGTACGGCTCCGGAAATTGTTAATTGTTTAATATTGCTGTATTTAAAATAATCATGCATTGTTCAGCTTAATAATTCTAAAAATGTTTAGGAGCCGTTTGTTACTTTGAATTTTTGTCGGTATTGTCTGGGCCATTCGAAGGTTGAAGAATTGGGAGGCTTCATTCATGTATGCATATATATAAATTATAACATGCCTGCAAGTGAATATGAACTTAATTATCGATCTTCCTACGACCATGATGGTAATAATAACCATTGCCTTTTACGTTCTTTTATATTATGGAACCACATTAAAAATATAGAATGTGTAATTGCATCTAAAAATGTAAAATTCGACATTAATCCTCCGCGAGCACTTCAACGGAAGCCTGATGTTTGAAAGAGCATGTTCATATCAATATTGGCGGGAAGAGGCTTCTATTTGCCACTCTGTTTGTTTGGAATGTGATGCTAATTAAGTGGACTTTCTAAAGATCACTTTGTATTAAATTCTTCGGTGGTCTGAATTGTTCTCCCACAAAATATATTTGGAGAATTCCTTACCAAATTAAAAGAATCGATGATACAATTGAAGTGAGACGGATGTAGTAATGTGTTAAAGCAATTCTATTATCTCGCTTGTATGAGCTCGATCAAGATTGAAAATATTAAGAATTCTGTTTCTGTTCATTCTCATTTTGTCTATTTTGGTTTGACCGCTATAGTTCCGAATATTTCTGCAGATTGAATCTAACTGAAACATGTGTGTGAAGTCAACGTGAAAAAATATTTAAATGCATGGTTAGAAAGTTTGAAATGTGGTGTATCACCCGTAGGTAGACCGGAATGGTCATTATTGCACATTTTGATTTAATTTTTCTCACTCATGGTAGTGGTGAAGGTTTTAGGTGCGGTGTGTTATGCAACCATTTAATTGCAAATTAATCTGCTAATAATTAGTTCTCTCCGATACGTCGTTAATAGAAACATTTTACTTCTGTTTAATGCACTATAGAGGCTATTTATGTTGATGATTATTTCATTAGTGAAAAGGCTTTAATTTTTCTTATCATTTTGAACGTTTTAAATGTACAATGAAGTTAAATATAAATTCTGGCAATATGCTATTGTATGAATGTGAAAAGATGTATTTTATGTCGATTGAAGCAAAAAATTAACAAAAAATGCATTTAAATACACCTTAATAAAATTTTTCAGTTTATTTTCAATAGCAAGTGCATGTTATTGGTCAACTGCATACCAACATATCTTGACGACGATCTGTAAAAATTCTGGCTTCCGTAGCGACTATTTTCTCTTTTCCTGTAAGTTTTTCCCATGGATGATGCTGCTATGGTTTGCCAAATAGTTTATCACAACAAATTCAGCTCGCGGGGCGATGGTCATAATAATGATAATTTCGTATCATTTCTAATTTTGAAAACATTTGTCACACCCTATTTGTTTTTTCAGAATGCGCTTGTTTAACATTGTCAACACATATTGCATGTCTTTTTCCTTTTCGTATGAACAATTATTATTCCTGCCGCTGCTGCTAGCTTATGTACATTATGTTTTCTTTTACTTATGCTGTTAACCTTGCTTTACAGTAATAGTTATATTTCATATTGGCTTGTTGTATGTCCTAAATCATGATCAAAATTTTTCTCTGGCTTGTTTCCTACTTTCTTTATACGATATTTCAACCAACTTTCCGCTGAAAGATTGTTATATGCAGTGCGGTGTTCATATCAAGATATATCTTCATTTCAACTTTCCGCTCCTGTAAGTTTTATAGACATGCGCCCACTCAATTAGAGAGTTATATATAATTATATAATTATTTTGAAGGATGTTCCTGCATTTTTGTTGCCCTGTTGTCAATCATATAAAATGTAGATACTGTCGACGTTTGTTGAACAAGCTACTACTTTACACTTCGTCCCAAACAAAGCTTTTGTTTGCATGAGCCGAAGCGGTAAAGAGATCCTAATTAGTTAAATATTGTCATCTGTGATATTGTGTTGAACAAACAATCCAAGCGCGTGCGTTTAGGCAAATAACATGGTTGTTTTCGCCAGGCGCTATGTATGATTGTCGTAATGAACACGAATCGCTTTCCGCTCGGCAAGTCTCTCGCTACTATTTTAAATAATCGCTATAATGGCACTCGAAGCATTTAGAAAAATTCCAACGACTTGAACTTAAGCTGAGAAAAAGCCAAACTCGACTTGGATTTTCTTACGACATGCAGAAAGCGCTCTGTGATACCAAGATTCCTGTCGTTCAAAGTAGCTAGTCATCGTTTACAAAACTCTAGCGCTTATCGCCAATGCAAAATAAACTCCTTCAAGAAGAAATAAACGGAAACACGCTCGCATACGCGTCCTCTCAGCACAACTAACACAAGCACACTCCAACCTGGCGTTACTAATCTCCAAAATTGACTTTATACACCTTAAGAATGTCTCCGATCGTGAAAATTCAAGAAAACTAATGCAACATCAACATATCCAAAATCGCAAACTTTTCCGTGTCACATCCAAACATGACAACAACATCCCAATCGACCCTGATAAAGTGGTGTTCAACTTCTCAAACCACCTCATTACTGACAGAGAGAAGAAATCCTTTCAAAAGGCTTAAACTTTTCCGTCCCACCGAAAATGTTAAACATTTGCACCTTCCTAACACCTTTAGAAAACTCTACAACCGCCTTAAACGAGAACCTGTTAATGAATCATCCGGATTTTTCCAGACTCGATCAAATGCAAATTAAAGACATTGCCCATCCAGGTTTCCAAAGTTACAGCCCACCACCTTTCCTATACTCACAAGAAGACTTGAACATTTTAAATAGTTTAAAAAACGACAGAACTATCCTCATCACTAAGCCTGACAAAGGAAATGGCATCGTAATACTTAACAAAGACGACTACATAAAGAAAATGACACACTCTTATCTGACACAACAAAGTTTCAACTTCTTGATGGAGATCCAGTAAAAGTCACTTTACAACGAGAAAATCAAGTGAAGTCTTTATTAAAAAAGTTGAAAGATGCTAAATCTATCGGCCAAGAAACTTACAAAAAACTTTACCCTACTGGTTCACGAATAGGTATATTGTATGGTCTTCCTAAAATACATAAATGTAACATCCCTCTCAGACCCATTCTTTCCTCCATTAATCACTATTCGTATAAACTAGCAAAGTTTTTTATCCCACTCCTAAAACCCTTCACTACAAGCAACTTTATCATCAAAACTCCTTCTCTTTGTCGAAGAAATCGTAAACTGCGAAATCAACTCCAGTAATTTTGTCCTTGCTAGTTTTGATGTCGTATCCCTATTTACTAACATACCTGTTGACGAAACCATCCGCATAATATCCAATAGCATTTTTAACAACCACAAGTACTTCAACGGACTCACTGCAACAAATTTGAAAACTACTCTCTAGCTGTTAAGAACTGTCACTTTATCTTTAACGGGAAAATGTACCAGCAAATTGATGGTGTGGCTATGGGCAGTCCATTGGGCCCTCTCTTTGCTGATATATTCATGTCCTCTCACGAACAATCCTGGCTTAATAAATGTCCTTCTTCATTCAAACCACTACTTTACCGACGCTAAGTTGACGACTGTTTTTACTTTTCATCCCTCCGATCACGTCCCTCTCTTTCTTGACTATCTGAACCGAGAGCACCCTAACATCACATTCACAGCTGAAATCGAACAAAACAGAAAACTATTATTTCTTGACATTGACATCTCTCGAGAGCAGATGAGTGGAAGCCCGTGACCAATGGTCGAGAGATCTCACTCTTTGAGGTTTTGCAATGAGCCAGTGCAAACATGTAAAACATCTTTTTATAAATTAACAGTAATGCAAAACAGATAAATATTAAAAAAAACTTCTAATTCATTCTCTATATATATTCATGATTGATTTGCAAATTATCGTTGATTGATTATTTGCAAATTATTTTTGATTGAATTTATTGAATAAGCTCTGGTCGGATGCAAAGGCTAATGCAAATTGCAAACTCGGCAAGAGACCAATCAGCGCATGCATTTTCTTGTTCTTATCGTACAATTGATATTACTCAAAAATCCCCTCACTTCGGGGAGTAGACAAGTATGCAGGATAAGAGGTGCATTCCCCCCGTGACTGTATGGTGAAATAATAAAAATTTGCTTAAACAATGAAGTGAAAAGCTTATGGAATAGCATTAATCTTTTTTGTGGGAATTAAGTTCGGGGTGTGCTATAACGTAATATTATGTATGTTTTCACTTACCTACACGCCTTTCTCTGTTGTATTGAAAGACTGTTAAATTGGTGGAGCATTTACACTTGGTGTGATTATGTAAAATGTATTCGTAATATTTAAACATCAGTGAGTCTCTCAGTACGATGCCTATCTTTTGCCATCTCACTGGTTTCGACGGATAGTGAGTTTGTGAATATTCTGCACAGCGGTGTATTTTGATGAAATATGGTCCGAAGCCTTGAGGGGGGGCTTCGTCAAATTTGTCACTGTATATGGACATAACATCTTCCTGAGGTTCACACGTTTTCTTGGCTGGAAATATAAGTACATATTAATTTGGCTTGTCTGTGGACGAACAATTTTCAATTGTGAGAAACCAAATGAAAAATGTAAAACGACTATTTCATTATACAATCAGTAAATTCAACATGTTTAGTTTTGTATGTTTACCTGCTGCTGCACAGAGCTGGCATAGTGTTAAAACAATAACATAAACTTCCTTTTTACTTCTTAAAAAATATCGATCTGTGATGAAAGATAAAAGCGCAATCAGTACCTGATGCAAAATATATTAAAACTGCCAATTGATTAGTATGATTTTATTAAATTCGCAACCAAAGGCATAAACGCATTTATGAATTTAAAATTACAGCTATCATTTACTTTGCTCAACTATGAAATATTTTATACAATTGATAAGCCATTTTGTAAGTCATACTAAAACTAGCGTCTATTTTGAACGCAACATACTGGAGATGGTACAGTGTTAAAAGTATTTTTTTAGCAATGCAATGAATGTTGCTCTCAAATGAGCGTCTTACAAAGAGTGATAAAGAACAAAGACGCAAATGTAAACATCAGGTCATTGGAGGTCAAGAGTGGCGTGAATTATTCTTATCTTTTTTATATCAATAATCAATATACATATATTATTTGATCATTCGATATATTCATCAACAATTTGTTTAAGAGATGCAGGGATTCAAAATGATATTTCACCCTATTGGCCCTATTGTCCTTTGTAACTTCCCGTAATGATATTTTTTAATGTCATTTAGTTAACTTTTTAGGGCATAGTTTACAAAAAAAATTTTAAATGTTTTGTATCCATATTTCCTGCGCTGTTGAACCATGTACATATCAAATCGTATGTGAAAAAAATTGACCCTATGCTATATTCTTAATTCATGTGAACGTCTCTACTCTAGGTTCATTTAAAGAATTTTGTGGAATTACTTCAACAGAGATTCTTTGACACCGAGGACTTTGTCAAACATAATGCTTCATGATTGGGAGAGAGGTCATTATTGTAACAAATTTTATAGCTAAATTGAATACGAAAAAACGGTTGAATAAATTGGTAATGGCAATCAGCATGGTATACAACAAACAATCGTGCTGTTTATTTCAACAATTTTTTTTATACAATGCTGTTTCTTTGTTTAATTAGCGCAATTGCGCAACGCGGCAGCGAGTTGTTGCAGAATTTAAAACAATATGTAATCTATACATTGTATGCATCGACGACACATAGTTTTGGCTACTATACAAGGTTAACACTACTCGATGGTGCTTTAAAATCGGCGCATAAATAGTCATCAGGAAGTGTATACGATAAATTTGACCTAGTAATACTTATTCATCATGCAATTAGAAATACAAATAGAATATATAACTTACCCATTTTGCTTGCAGAAAAATTGCCTGATCGTTTTTTGCAAATCGTCTTTCTTTTCGATGTAAGCAACTGTTCGTTGACTTTTGAACACTTGTAAATGATTTATGGTGTTTGCGTTTTTTATATTTATAATGATGCAAGACTTGTTTTTCACTGCATGGTGAACCGCACTTTATTTTGTTGGGTTAACCATTTCCTTTTGACAAATAATGGTGCAGCAGAAGGATGAATACTCTTTAGGTTATTTTGATACACTGTATTGCGCTGTTGAGGTTAGCATTCTTTCATAACTTATTTACGCAACAACACGCAATGCAAGAAAAATAAAAATAATGCTTTTATTGATTTCTGTAAAGTAAAATAGATCAAGTCGTAAAACTTTTTTAATGCTCGAAGGTTCATGTAGGTTCATGAAAAATACAGTGGAAGTTGTCCCACCCCAAGTTCTTCAGAAACGCATGCGTGATCGCACCTAACACGCCTTAAAACTTGCTATTTTTTATAAATGTCCGGAGTTGTTTTTGACGACTTCTGGTGGGTTTTAATTAGCATGATGTAAAGTGACTTGGGTATTTTATATTTTCCCAGTTGTTTTGATAGGAAAACGTTCAACGGCTAATTGATTTCATATTAATTGATGTCATCACATCATGTGTGTACAATAAATCTACTTTACAGATACAGTTTCCATAGGCGTACGGGCACATATTTTTAGGGGGAGCTGGACTAAATTTGCCCGAATTATATGACGTCATATGACGTATGACGTCATAGATATTCTTATGTTGTCTCTGGCCATCTCAATTAATAAGCTAAAATCATTACAATTTGCTAAGAGGATGCTACGAAAGTAACTACATTTTATTTGATATTTGAAATTTTGTCATATATAACACTAGACGCAGAAGAAATTTAGTTAGTTAAATGTGCGACGATCTAAGACTAAAAGAAATAAAATTTACGATTACGTCGTTGTCCAAAAATGTTAATTATCTTTTCCATGTCGTTCTTTAAAGTACTATTTGCATAGGCTCTTTCCACATTGATTAGGGCAATGCTGTTTAACCGTTTTTGACCAATTGTACTTCGAAGATAGGTTTTTTAAGCGACGAAGAGCGCTAAAAGATCTTTCTGCTGAGCAGGATGTTGCCGGGATCGCGGCCAGAATCGAAAATACTTTGTAAGCCACAGGCAGGACTTCATGAACACCATTTTCGAACATTCTCTTAACAATTTTGGCAGCGTTTTCTCTCTCAGCACAAGGGAAATCAACGTCAATATTCTCAAAGACATTTTTCTCGCTACTAAGAAGCTCACTGTCGATACCATAGAAGTGTGATACCAACTCAACATTCGCCGTGGTTGGAGACCTGTTGAACACAATATCTGCAAGTGCCAATAGGACCTCTTGATCACTACCTTCAAATCTTGATTTCATCTCCGCCACAATCTTGTCAATGCTTAGGTAGTAGCATGTGATACGATAGTAATCTTTTTCTGTTCGATTTTCCACTTCTGCATTTACTTCAGCCATTTCACCGACGAGAGCTTGAGCCGCCGTGACGGCTGTTGGAATCTTGGTACTTTTGCATCTTTGAAATTGAATTCTGTACCTTCAATTTGCTCCTTAATTTTGTGTGCTATGATTTCAGCCCGTGACCATAACAGTTCGAAATTTTCGAGGGAACGACATCCAATTAATGTCTTAATCACGCCATCAACACTCTTCTTTGCTGTGGCGACATCCATTTGCTTTCCTTGTAGGTACCTGCTCAAACCATCGGTGTTAGATAAAATAACCTTTAATACCATCAAACCAAAAACGAACCGAAAGTCGCAAATCGAGTTAAGTAGCGAATTGCTGTCATTGTAGGTCTTCGGATCGCGATCTTTTGAGAGTGTAAGGAGAACCTCGATGATCTTAGGTAATTGGTTTACTACTGCTTTACAGCTGCCCAACGACAAGACCATCTAGTAGCACTCTGCGATTTAATAGTCAGTGTAATATCTTCGTCCTCATCTTCGACCTTGATGTCATTGAAGATGGAGTGGCGTTTGGGACTTCCTTCCAAGAAATTATGGAGACTCTGGATCACACCTAAAGCTTTCTGAAGTGGCTCAATTGTAGTCATCGTATCTTGTAGCGCCAAGTTAAGCCGATGCCCATGGCAGTGAACATAGATGCTAAGAGGTGAGCACTCCTTCATGCGTGCAGCAAGTCCTTTGCGAGGGCCACTCATATTTGCAGCGCCATCAAAGCATTCTGCGACAATGTTTTCCAATGTCAACTCTAGCCTGCCAATGGCTGTCTTTAACAGCTCATACAATACTTCTCCTTCCGTAGATTTGGTTGAATAGAAACCAGTGAATGTCTCTTTGGTTTCGCCATTGAAAACATATCTGAGGAAAAGAGATAATTGCTCTGTTCGACTGATGTCTGCCGTTTCATCGACAACTATTCCGTAGTAGTCGCTACTTCTTGCTTCTTCTGCTATCCTCTCAAGCATGACACTTGCTACTATTTCCAGTAGTTCATTTTGAATAGCAGGGGATGTCCACTGAGCATGTGTCTGCAGCTGGCTTTGAAGTTTAGATTTCAGCCAAGGCAAATCGTTGCATCTTATGCAAAGTAACTCGAGAAAGTTTCCTCTATTTATATCAGATATCTCCCATATATCACCCCGAATCTCTTCATGACCTCTAATTGCAACATTTTGTTGTGCAGTGTACATCAAAGATTGTATGATTACTTTTAAGTATTGTCTGTTAATAGCAACCTGGTCCTGGTGTGCACTATTCAGCTGTTGTAGTACGGAGGTTTTCTTTCTTTCCATTGCTTTAAACTGGAGCCATCTTGTCATGGATCTGACGTGGTTCTCACTCTTGCCATGTTTTGCCAGCTTTGACGACTTCTTCCAATTTGTAAGCACAAATGAAGTATTCTTCCCAAATTCTTTACAGGCAAAACAAACGCATGCATCTTTATCCACTTCGTAACTAATCCATGGATATTTCTTGTACCATTCAGGCTGAAATCGTCGCACAAATGTTTCACTGCCGAATTTTCGTGCAGGATATTCACCTAATATAGGCTGTTTTGGGGCGTGCAAGGTGGAAATCTCTTCTTCATTCATACTGTTAAGGAAACCTTTCTAGTCTGTTCATTTAGAACAGATGCTGTTGAATCTAAATCTTGTATTGCTGTTGTGTCTAGAGTGTTAGACGTCGTCGTTGATTCTGGTGTTGCAACGCGTTGTATATTTTGATTTAAGTTAAATTCTTCGATGAACAGTGCGTCACTGGAAGTAAGATTTTCATTATCCGTGACCGTATTCAATTCTTTATTTTCTCTGAACTGCGTCAGTGGATTTAATTCATCAACATCAATAAACGTTCTCATTGGTTCCGTTTGGTCTTCGCTTATGGGCTCCTTCAAATTAATCTCAGGTAGATTTTCCTCAAAAGACCCAGTGGCTGCTAAATCTTTACTAGCACTCGATTCTGTTTCCTGTAAGGTTAGGTTATCATCCTTGGTTGTCATGTTACTTTTTACAAAGAAACCACTGATCTTTGACTGCGATAAATCCGATGAATCCATCACTCGATGACACTTAACTTTTTCATTATTGTGAACTCGTCGAAAGTGGACCTCCTTATAATCACTGTCAATTTCCTTGCTGCATTCCTCGCACCAAACGCGATGTCGATACGGTCGTTTACGAGACGCCATATGTACGCTTTATTAGAGCTTGGCTACTAAATGTTTTCCCCTTGTGGATAATAGTTTCCTTGAACAACAATCATAGAGTGAATGGCACTAATCTAATCAATGGAATGGACAGTGCCTCTCCATACGAAGCCTAATTTTCATGCAAAAATTAAAAATCACTTTTGGGGATCGCAGCGATTGTTAATCTATATATTAATGTATAACGGATAGCGTGGGGAGACGATTTTCGCAATTTCAAGACATTTCAAGACTTTTACTGACCTCAGCCCTTTTATAAATGGAGAACGTTATGTGGATAAATTTAATACCAAAAGCTTTGCTCTGATTGAAAATATCGGCGTTCGTGTTCGTTTAAAAGTTGTAAACACCGAATATATTCGTCGCAATATCGCTAGTAAATAGACCGATTTCTCGTGACGTAATTTGTTTATATTATAATGGGGCGGATGTAAAATTCTCCTATTATGTCTCAAGAAAATTTTGCACCCAATCACTTTACGCGATTTTTATTTTACCTCCTGAAATTTAAGTAATTTAAACAATTTAAAACCATCCATTAAAAGACCGTTCACGCTCAAGAACCGAAGCAGTTTATGATCTAGAAATGATGTAGATTAATATTGAAAATTTAAAAACTGTAGTAAGTATCTTGCCAGAATATCATGTAAATGCTTGCCCGAATACACAAATTCTCGAGAAATTGGGGGGGCTGCAGCCCCCCCAGCCCACCCCCCCCGTACGCCTATGACAGTTTCTCCAGTCTTTATCAATGTATGATTGCTATACAGTACATTCAATCACAAGCGTTCTTTTACTTTATTCTTCCAAGCTTAAGGAATAAAATTTTGATAATTTAGCCCGTTATAGATAAGAAAAAGAAATAGTGTGAGCGAGAGCTGTCAATAATTTAGAAAAACCTTTTTCAAAACAACAAATAGTTTTGACCGTGTAGTATAGACCGTATGGTCCATGACGATTATATAGAATGATCTGAAGATCATCATCGCTCTAAGGCATTTTTCTAGAAAATATATATACAGAAAATAGGATTTTCCTCATTTAACTGCAATGGTTCTTAGTACTTCGTTGTTGGTTCTTTCCTTAAAATATTGAAACTAATAAAGTACATTCGTAGGTGTGAATTTAACTGTAACGTATTGTCAAAACTGAAATAATTGCGAGAGGGAATTGCGAAACGGCACAAGTGCGCTTCCGATTGTGTTAAACAGTGTTTTTAATTAGCCTATAATTGACGTAGTTACATGAAGCAAAGCTCAAAGGTTACTGTTTTACGTGCAGCACAGTGGCCTTTGTTGCGTTTAGTTGGGTTATTTTTGTGGCCTAGTCAGCCCTTGGGTTTGGTCTTGCGATGTAAACTTCAGATCATTATCAGTGTTTATTTCTTTGAAGTCTTTATTGTTTCTACGATGAGTAAACATCTAAACGTTGGTGATAAATTTGCGTTCTATAAATACACAAAATTGATCACTAATCCGGAGCCTAGTACTCGGCTATAATTGACATATTTGTCGGAGATTGGATTAAGGATCAGTTTCGCGTATTATAGAACACGTGATTATTACCGAAATATTTGCAAGAGTAAATAAACGGCCTAAGATAAATTTCAATAGTTGAACGTATTTTACATTGATTTGTCTTTACATGTCATGGTTGTAGCAAACATTAAACAGAGGAGAATCATTTATTTTTAAACTCCCTTTATTATACGATAAGTGAGAACAAAGTAAACCACATTCCATCCTATCCCCAAATTTGGTAGTTTTAACACAAGTTTGATTGAGAACTTTTGTTTACTGGGAAATCGGGAAGTTTTATATGCATTAAAACCGCCGATTTTTACGACTTTTGGCATATGTGTGAACCACAAGGGAGCATGTTGTTGAATTTCAACATTTCTTGCCGGTGACCTCATGAGGAAGTTATTTGTTTTTTTATAGAATCTCGTGGCGAAAGAATGCCAAAAATCCACGCCACTCTGTGAATTACCGTCTCTTGTTTATTAAGGTATGTAGTTTTGAATTTACCTGTAAATTGATCTACCAAATGTCTTCATCTGGTTCATTTAAGTTTCAATGCCAATATTTACCAAAATTTCGTTTTTACCGGAATTGTTTTTGCTACTGGGAAGAATATACGCGTAGCTGTGCCTTTCGTGTTGGAATGCTTCTGACTGAAGCCCAGTGCAAACAAAGTTAACATATAGATCCAGCATTTTTGGATACTACATATTGACTTCGTTAGAATCAATTTTTTGTGTGTAATGTTAGGTAGTGCTAAAATTGTGTTGAGGTTAAACAAGTCCATAATTTTCAATCTGCAACATTGGTCACATAAATGCTGACTGTAATTTGAAAGTCGATGAAAAATTGTTGCTGGAAGTTTTAATTATCGGGGTATGTGGTGGGATGTGTTTGAAGACACACTGAAAGAGTTGGTCCTATAATGGCATAGGTAGTTCCTGCGATTAGGAAGGGGGATGAGGCATATTCACATGTGCATGCAATAAATAATGCGTATATCGATAGAACTGAAGGCAGAACTTTTACGTGTGAATATTGCCCCACCCTACCTCCACCCCTTTATTATCAAGCTGGCTGTGCCACTGATGATATAGTTTGAATTTACTGGGACCTACAGTCTTATATTCTCAAACAAGCCGTTTTGATACAAAAAAAACACACTGGCGGAAGAGACTATACTTACTTCGATGAATTGCGTAAGATTAAAAGATTGTTCTTTAAATTTGGATGTTTTTTCAAAACTGGGGAGATAGGAGTAGAGATTTTTCGTAATGACAATCAACACGATGCATTTATAAGCGGTAACAACAGACGATTGACGACAATTGTAAGCTGGTGCTTAGCTATTTAGTTGAATCAAACATAATGGCGTGGATTAAAAGAAAGGAATGGAGTGTGTACCTACTATTGTTTTGTCATCCGAATGTTCTGCATAACTGCATAACTGCATAATTGAGGATGAGTCATTTGCCACAACGCATTTCATCATTTGAAGCATTCTGTTTCAAGAAGTCCATTTGACCTTGAAAATCAAAGAGAAATTGCTTAGAATTCCCGAATTAATTGAGGTGAAATATCGACATTTGCGAATGAGGATTATTTGGATGAGAAGAAATATTTTATGGAAGCGAACGGCCTGGTTTTATATTTCTTCTGCAATCTTCTTTTCATGTCTTTCCAGCAGTATCTGCTCATTTCTTTCGAAAGAATAGCTCTTCGAAGTTTGTGAAGGCAAAGAGATGGTAGGATGGTGTGGTTTTAAATTTCTTTGCGGCAATTTTTTTCCTGTCTTTCCAGAATCATATCTTATCGTGATTTGCTAAAACAACGAGATAATAGGAAGGTGACGTTTCAAATTTCAAAGGCGATTTTCTGCTAATGATATTCCAGAAGAATATCTCTTTGCTAAAACAAAGAGATGAATATCTCTTTGCTAAAACAAAGAGATGATGGTGTGGCGTGGTTTTGATTACAACGGCGATTTTCTTTTTTTGTATTTCCAGCATCATATATGTCATAGGATCATGTAATTTTTGAATTTTCACCGCAATTTTGTCTCATGTCTTTCCAACAGCAGAATCTTTTCAAGGTTTTCTAAAGCAAAGCACATTTTACTCTTCTTTTTTTTGGCGTCATGATATAAAAATAGTTCAATGATACAAGAATAGTTCAAAGTATCATTTTTGTGTCTTTTAACTGGCGAAATACTAAGAACTCTTGCAATTATTTCCCTTTTTGTATTTGAGGTAGAATGTTTTGCAAGAGGATTTGGAGTACTCATGTTAGTACTTATTGCGGCTTCTTTGTATTATTAGACGTAGTGGGTGTATTTTGACTAATTTCTTTCTTTCGTGCTCGGTTTCCGTTCATATCGATGACTCGACATTTAGTACTTCAAGGACTGCCTTCCCTTTTTAGAATGAATTTTTAATTTGTTCGCTCTATTTTTACATTTTTGTAATGCGTTTTACTTTTCCTAATTTGGTCAAACAGTGAAACCCCGCCTTATGGTCTGTCGTTAATACGGTTATATGACGGTCGTATTTCTATACAAGCAAAACACTGGTGTATTTTATAACAAACAACCGTTTAATACGACCAACCTGTCAGTACTGTCCACGGGTGCATTGTGAAGTCCCATTTTAAATACGGTCAATTGAAATAATAATTGTGTTAATTGACGGAAATGGAGCATATGGTACATGTTGAAAACAATATAAAAAAAATTACATCGTATAATTGTTTATAATGTTAATTGTACATTTAAATCTCTCGAAGAGGACTTAAAACAAAAGAATAAATATGCAAGCTTCTTTTAACTTCGTTTAGCTTTTAAATTTTTACAGTAACTTCTGCTTTTTTC